TTCTTCTTCTTCTTCTTCTTCTTCTTCTTCTTCTTCTTCTTTCTTGTTCTTCTTCCTTCTTCTCCTATAACTCCCATGATGCATATATTGATTGCTTTTATGATATCCCATAAATCCCATAGGCTTTCTTCACTATTTGTAATATGTTCTGCTTTTTTCTTCTGTGACTGGATAATTTCAAATGAATTGTATTCAGTGTCACAGATCCTCTCTTCTGTTTGATCAAGTCTGCTTTTGAAGCCCTCCATTACATTTTCCATTTCATTCACTATGATTTTAGCTTCAGAAATTCTATTTGGTTCTTTTTCTATCATTTCTCTTCTTGTTGAACTTTTCATTTTGTTCATGTATTGTTATCCTGATTTCATTGAGTTGTCTATACGTATTCTCTTGTAACACACTCAACTATGTCAGAACACCTATTTTGAATTATTTGTCATGCAATTTGTAGATCTTAATTGCTTTGGGGTTGGTATTGAAAAATTACTGTTTTCCTTTGATGGTGTCATATTTCCTTGATTATTCATGTTTCTTATAGCTTTGCATTGATATCTCCAATTTTGAAGGATTAGTCACCTTCTCCAGGCTTTCTAGACTGATTTGCCTGGGGAAAGACCTTCACCTACAATTGGGTATAAAGATGCCAGCTGGGTGGGGCACAGCAGCTTTGGCTCTGTAAGTGTTCAGCATTGGTTTTGGCTCTGAAGAGGGCACAGTGGTATAGTCTTCATGTACCTCCATCAGCTGAGGTCAGTATCAATGAATACTGCAGTGGTCCTCAATGTCCAAGTCTGAAGATGTCCACAGTGGCAGCAAGGGCTATTGGAGTCCTCACTGGTGAAGGCTATTTGGATGCTCTTTTTCACTTTTCCCCCATGGGGCAGAGTCATGGCTGAAGGCATTCCCCTTGCCACCATGTCTAACATGTGGGTGCACATGCAGCAGCTCTGGTTAACATGTAGAATGCACATAAAATATCAGTGGTTCCTGAATTTCGTGGTGTGGGCCCACTTGCTGTTCCAGTGGTGATAATGTCTTGGGGGAAGGACAACACTTTTGGGGGGAATAGGGACCAAGTTGTAGCTAATTCTGATGGGGATGGAGCAGCAATGGCTCTTTCTGAATAGGGGAGCTAGACCAGAGCTGGCTCTTTTTGTGGAGTTTGTGTATCACCAGCTCCTTGTGTATGGGGTTCAGTGCAGCAGTGGCTCCTTCTCTGGGGGAACAGAAGAGTGGTGGCCCCTTGTGGGGGGGCATCAGCAGCTCCTTCTTGGGGAGGCTGTGGTGTTGGCAGGTCCTTCTGGGGAAAAGAGTGTCAGTGGCTCTCTCGTTGAGGAATGGAAGTAGTTCCTTCTCAGGGGTGTGTGGAACAGTCACAGCTTTTTCTGGGGAAGGACAGAAAATCAATGGCTTCTTCTGGGAAATGCAGTATTGATGGTTCCTTTTCATGGGGAGGATGTGGAGGGGTAGCAATTCCTTTTGGGTAGGGGAGGCAAGGATTGGCATTGGCTCCTTCTGAAGAAGATGCAGTGATGGTGGTTCCCTCTATGGATGTAGAATGGTGGTGGCTCCCTCTAGGGATTTAGAATGATGGCAGCTCCTTCTCTGGGAGGACACAGAAACTGTGGCGCCTTGATCTGAAAGCAGAGCACCTGTGGCACCATGTGGGGAAAAGAAGATTGGCAGGTGCTCCTTGGGTAAAGTGCATGGAAATAGCTCCTTCTTGGGGAGGAAGAAAGGCAGTGGAGGATCCTTTTTGGTGAGCAAAGTGATGGCAGCTTTTTCTTTGGGAAGACTAAGAAGCTACAACTTCCTCTAGGGTTGGGGAAGAGTTGTGGTGGCTCCTTGTAGAGCTGGCAAAGGAGCATGGACCCCACGCAATTCAGTCAGCTGGGGTCAGCATCAACAAAGACTTCCTGGTGGTGAGAGCTGCTAGGGTCTTCCTGCTGTCCTTCTCCCCAATGGGGGTTCCCTCTTGGTGCCTAGCTGTGCCAGACTGGGGTGATATAGTAAGATACTTTCTACACTTTACTATATAGCCTTCTTTCTTTCTTTTTTTCTTTCTTTCTTCTTTTGCTCCACTGGTTTGCTACAGGTTCCTTATTTTATTCTGGAGTGCTCTCTGAGATATTTTTGTGGGCATATAATTTATTTCTTGTTTTTGTTGTTATTGTGGGAGAAAATGAGCATTGAGACCTCCTTAGTTGTCATTTGATTGATGTTGCTCCTGTAGTATTCAGTTTGTATAAAATTTTCATAATGGACAAATCTATAGAGACATAAAGTAGATTAGTAGTTGCTTGGGGCTTCGTTGAGTGTATGGAACAGGGAATAATGGCTAGGGAGTGCAGGGAATTTTTTGGGGGGGTTACAATGATATTTTCTAAAATTGTGTTGATAGTTTTTAAATTCTGTGAATATAATAAAGAATTGGATTATACAGTAAATGGGTGAATTGTATGGTATGCAAATTATATCTTGATAAAGCTGTTATAAAAATTAATATGGCATCAATCAGAAGATGGGTAAGAGATGGCAAAACTTGGAGACATTAAAACAGGTTAGGATGTTTTGTAATAGTCCAGTTGAGAAAACAAGGGTCTACATTAGGGCAGGAATATTAGAAATTGGAAATAAGCGAGTGTGGTTATAAAATATATTATAGAGATATAATCAATAGGACTTTCCATTTGGTTGGATGATTTATGCATAGAGGTAAGAAGACAAAGAAGACTAAAGTTTTGAGTCTGGGTAGCTAGGATGGTTTGATGTCTTTACTACACACTGTGAGAACAGAATAAGTAACAGCATTCTGGGAGGTGAGTTCATAACAATTTTAGTTTTTGATGTGCTGTCAGGACAATCTTCAAAAGAGGCCCAAGTAACTGAAAATGTCACATTGGAGCCTAGTAACAAGGGAAATCTGGCTAAATATTTAAGAGTCATGAATACATAGAATATAATTGACATCAGAAAGGTGGCTAAAAGCTTCCACGGAGAGAGTATAGAAAAAGAGGAAAAAAGGACTGGCGACAGGGCCTTGGGGAGACAGCTCCAAATAGGAGGAGGCAGCAGCAGGAAAATAACAAAACAGAGCCAAAGGAGGGAGTATGTTAAAAGCAGAGAGAACAGTAGCAGAGCTGCCTTACCAGGATTGGAAAGCTGGGCTTTTAATGATAGGGTTAGTAGAAGACAGGCTGAGGGTGTCCCAGAAAGGAGAAGAACAAAGTCACAAAATTAAAATGGAGACTGGTATGAAAGTAATGAGGAATGATTTTAAAAGTCTTGGGACTCGCCCACCACAGCCTCTTGGGAAGACCTGAAAGTTGGCAGAAGTTTCTGACCTGGTACAACTGGAAATCCCTGTTACCCTTCCTAGGTGAGATTCTCACTTACAAATGGAACATCCCAGAGAGATCTGGCCCTGGACCCAATGATTCTGCTTGTGTTTCCTGGATTTATCATTCTGCAGTAGATCCCATCAAGGTAAATACAATTTGACTTCCTGAAGGTGAGTCTAACAAATGGGCAAAATGACCAGCAAAAATAACCAATTAAGTAGGTGTAATAAGAAGCCCATCCTTGAAATACTAAAGCCTAGGATTTGGGGAAAATATCTTAAATTCTTGGCTAAGTTTAATAGACAGGAGGAAGAATGAAAGAAATAAGTAGCACCACTTGTTTGCCCTAAGAATTTTCTTCCTTGATTCTTCTTCTTGGATCCTATAATGCAATATGCTCTCATTTTAAAAGCCTAGGATTGGTTATCAAGAGATTGGGGTTCTAGTCCCAAATTTGGTTTTATCTTACCTTTGGAGTGACTTTAGACAAGTCATTCTGCTTCTGTTTTGTCATCTGGAAAATGAGTTTATATATCTAGCCACCCATCCACAGCCAGATCTCAGCAATCATTTCCTGAGAGAACCCACTATACTTTTGACATTTCACTTGGTGCTTTAGATGATACAAATGTAAGATAAACTTCCCGTCCTCAAAGAGTATGATCTAGTTGGGAGACAGATAAATATAAACACAATGTCATGTATATCTATAATCTATCTATCTATCTATCTATCTATCATCTATCTATCTATCTTTTATCTATCCATCCATCCATCCATGTTAGCAGCTCTTTAAAACCACATAATAATTCTATGGGGGTCTATGAGAGTAATTACTTCTGCTTGGATAAGGGGATGAATGAGAGGGAAGCTGGAGAAGGCATCATAATAAATGTAAGTTACATGTACATTGAGCCTTGAAAGATGCAAAGCAGCATGCCGTAAGATAAGGAATATGGTGGAGGGGAGGACATTACATGAAGAAGAAATAGCATGAGAAAGGCACTGGGCTGTGAAAGTTCTTGGTAGGTTTGGAGATCAATGAGTAGTCTAGCCCAGCTAAAGCATAGGTTATATATAACACATATTACCTGTGTCCCAAGATGGTTGTAAGGCTGAATTCAGATAACATAATGGAGATGCTTATAAATAAATATAAGATATTATACTGAAGTTCTGAGGGCAGAGTGGGCTTGGATGTCAGCCTGGCTTCCCGTAGAACACTGCCACACAGGTTATCCTCATATTCTTTACTCTCTCCCATTCTCAGGACATGTATAGTGGCCTGGTGGGGCCCTTGGCCATCTGCAGAAAGGGAATCCTGGATCCCCATGGAAGACGGAGTGACATGGACCGAGAATTTGCCTTGTTATTCTTGATCTTTGATGAGAACCAATCATGGTATCTGGAGGAGAATGTGGCAACCCACGGGCCTCAGGAGCCAGGCCATGTTAATCTACAGGATGAAACTTTCTTGGAGAGTAATAAAATGCATGGTCTGTAGAAAATAATCTACCCCTCTTCCATAGAAGTCTCCACATGGGGGTAGCTGATAAATCCATTACTATCTGAAGGAGCATAATTCCTGAAAGGATGGATGGGAGGTAGAAATTTGGAATAAGGACAAATTGGAATAAATGTCTTCAACTGTTGTACATTTATATACACAAAGCATATATTTGGTCCATATTAGATCAGGTGCCCAGAAAATAGGAAGCTGATTCTGTAAAGTTGCTGTGGTGACACCAGCACATTTTAACATATTACAGAAGGCAAGGTGGCCATTCAATGTATTCAGTGACCCTCAGTGTATTTGGTGAGCTAGCTGTTCGGGGCTCCTCTGCTTCAAAATCCTGAATTTAGTCTTTCAATATCATGTTATTTACTTACCAGTCTGGATCTGATGTCTGATTTTTAATATAGACACATGGGCAGCTTGTCTTTTCATCTAGTTATTTTTTATTTATTTATTTATTTATTTATTTATTTATTTTATTGGGGAATTGGGGTGATGGGAACAGTGCTGGGGAATTGGGGGAAGGGGAACAGACAAGTTGCTGTCCTTTTGTTATTCAGTCTAGTTGTGGAGGACGTCGCTTCACTGGCCCATGTTGGCACCATCATTGCGCTCTTCCCGGGCAATGCAGATCAGTTGCCGGCTTCTGGATGGCTGCTCACTGCAGCTGATGGCCGCTCACGCTGGCTGCTGGCTACATACTGTAGCCCATGGCAACCCATTGCCACAGGGGCTGCAGCCTATGCCGCCGCCGGCGACTCATGGCAGCCCAGCTCCAGGTCGAGATGTTGTTCAGCATCTTAGCTGTGGAGGGCAGTGTCACTGGCCCTCACATGTGGGATCCGAACCAGGGCCCTCTGGTGTCCCAAGCCAGTTCTTAACCATCGCGCCACTCGGCCAGCCCTCATCTAGTTTTCAAAAGAAAGTTCAATTTACAGATGGAAGAATTGGAGGAGAGAGACTCAAAGAGTAGCATATTGAGTTTATATTATATACAAGGAAGAGTTTTTTTATTCTTGAATGGGTTTTGGAGGTAATTTGTGCATCCAAGCCTTCCTTTGTTATAAAGATATGTGTATCTCTTTGAAAACAAGAGAAAATATCACATAAGAAGGAGAGCTTAAGTACAGTGGAATGGATGAAATGATTTCTCACTTTCCCTTCTAACATAATATTTTTTTGATCTGAAGGTAAAGTGTGACTTTGATAGTGACTCTAATGAAATTTAAAAGTACTATCTGATTGTCATAAATTCTATTGGGTTGCTGGAAAAGTCATGATGTATTTTTTCTGTTTTTCATTGCAAAAATGCATCATGACTTTTCCGACAACCCAATAGTTATTGTTCACACTGGAGCACATTATTCACAAACTTTATTAAGTGAACTTTTTAGCTCTTGTCAAATCAGAGAAATAAATTTCCCATGAAAAAAGGGAGTGATCTTGCTATTGCCGGGGTTGGGCTAATGCCCATCTCCATCTGATTTTTTATATGTTCATTCATTCAAAGTCTTTAGGTATTAATCTCTCTGTTTGTCAGATATTTGTTGAGCACTTTCTGAGTCCTGGCACTGGAGATAAAAAGTCAAATAATATTGGTATCTGAAGGCATATAAATAATCTCCTTCCCTTCCCTTCCTGATTCCTGAACCAATTGAGAATGAGAAAGAGATTAAATGTGAGCTTACTGAGAAGGCTAACTGAAAAACTGAATTTAGTTCTGTGATTAAATAGGCTTGCTAATACTCCTTCCATAATGGATAGATTTTCCACTTTGTCATTGACAAAGTGGTCAGGATCTTTCCCACAATGGAATACTAAATCTGTTTGCACCCCTTTCTATGGTCAGACTGATCCAAGAGGGAGCATATTCAGAAAAGGCTGAGTTGTGCATGTTTATTTCCTTTTATCAAATTCATAATTTGGTGGAGGTAAATACAGAAACATGCCATAAATGTTATTTCCATTATTTACCCTCTTGAGATATAAAGTAGAAATGACCTTCCTTCTGTGAGAACATGAGAAGTGGAGGATTATATCCTGGACATAATCTTGGCAGTGTTAATGAACATGGCAATGAGTAGTTTGTGATCTTTAAAGCATAGGATATAGCCTGGGATGAGGCAGATGATGAGGCCCATGCATTAATAACATGATTAATTCCAAATAAGTGACTAGTCTTTTTTGAAACATTTATCATAGGCTCAGGTGTCTGTTGGATGTTCTGAAGAATACAAGTGAACTCTAGTGCTATAGCATATACACTTATTTCCTGCTAACTAGGAACCTAGGTTGTAATTGGGGATATGAGCTTCCACAAATTAAAAAATAGGTAAATCCAGAAGGCAATTTCTGGTGAGTTCCAAAGAGTGGTAAGACAGTACTGGATAAGTTCAGAGATGGAAGGGGATGCAGAGAATGAGAGATATTGAGGGAAGCTAATTAAAGATATGATCTTGGAGGAGGTGAAATTTTGAACTTTGAAAAGATGAATAAAAGGAGGCAGGTTTTCTGGGATTGAAAATTAAAAACATGAGCATGGAGACAAATCACACATAAATTGAGCTATATGGGGGTTTGTGAATAAATCAACCTAATTGGAATAAGTGTGTTGGATAATGGGAAATGAGTCTGGGAAAATGTTTGGGACCTATATTTCAAAGGACCATCTTGGCTGAGGTAAGGAACCATGGGCTCGAGTTTTTGGGCAAGAGGGAGCTAGTAACATATCTTAAGCTGCTGAATGACATGGTCATACTTGTTATTTAGAAGACCACTCTCATAACACCAAGGTGAAAGGTAGACTGTAGGGGGACAAATGCAATAGAAATGAGAGAAGTTAAAAACTATTGCTATCATCAGAGATGATAAGGACTAGCCTTAAGGGAGTGGCAATGGGAAGTCAAAATGAGAGATATGAGACTTTTTATTTTTTTACAGCCATTAATGGAAAGCTCTATGCCAACCTCAAGGGTCTTATCATGTACAAAGGAGAACGAGTGGCCTGGTACATGCTGGCCATGGGCCAAGATATTGACCTGCACACTGTCCACTTCCATGCAGAGAGCTTCCTGTATCGGGTGAGCTGGAAAGAGGACTCAGTCCATTAGGGATGATTAGAGGAGTGTTCAACAGCTATTAAGGAGGAAGGGAATAGCAAGGAACAAGATAAAAAGCAGTTAAAAGAGGAGAGGTCTTTTACATGGAGCAGTGAGCTGGGAATTCTAGTTTGGCTGTGTATTCCAGGGTCACTTCTCTCTATGCCTTAACTTTCCCCTCTTATATAGAAGAAACAAGTGGCTTGTTTATGGGGTAAGGAGATTAAAGGAATCAATGTAATTGAGTCTCAAAGTCTTGAGACACAGTGAACAGTTATCCTAAGATATAAGAATTTCAGAGGGTGTCTCATAATCTCTGAAAGTCCTTAATCCATTGTAAGAACTTGAATTCAGGAGCTACATGGAAAAATATGTAGGCTTTGAAGAAGATGTAGTCTTAGGAAAGGGGGCAGAATTGGAGGCATTCATGTAGATGTAAAGATCTAGAAGTGCTCATAAAAGTGATGGCGTGAAATATAAGCTAATTTGAGCTCAATTGTTAAAGTAAATATGTGGCTCCTTCTCAGGGGTCAAGACTTAAGCCGAATTCCCCAGATTTCAGCATGCTGAAAATTATGGAGATTCTAGGTTTTAGCCCCCTAAAGGAAACTGCAATGTCTTTTACTTTGGGATACTTTAAGAATAAGTAGGAGGAGAGAGAGTCCCCTCTACTGATTTAGTGTGTGTGTGTGTGTGTGTGTGTGTGTGTGGCAGGGCTCACAGGGAAGATGAATAAGGTGGACCCTTTAAGCTGCTCTCTGGTCTATGAATCAGTCCCATGTCCCTGATGTGGACACAGAAGCCTTTTAATTTCTATAAACTGTGAGATGCCCTTTATACTGTTCACTTCCTTCCTCTCTTCCACCCCCAATTTCTCTTACAGAATGGAGAGAGCTACCGAGCAGACGTGGTGGATCTATTCCCGGGAAGCTTTGAGGTTGTGGAGATGGTAGCCAGCAACCCTGGGACATGGCTGATGCACTGCCATGTTACCGACCATGTCCATTCTGGCATGGAGACCCTTTTTACTGTCTTATCCCAAAGAGGTAAGTCATAACTATCCAATAGGTGCCATCTTCGATCACTTTGTCTTGCCTATAGAAACCAGATAATTCCAAGAAGTCTTTTACCTGTCCTTCTGATCCCAGAAGAACCAGGACTTAAGACAGAGCATACCCTCTAGCTCTTCTCCCATCCAATATTTCTCATTCTCTATTGGTTCCTTGCTCCTGCCCCCTTCTAATTTCTTTGACACTTGTTGAGCTCACATCAGTTGAGCCAGCCTGAAGCTGGTTGGACTCTGGGCATTCATGCTTAGTGTAAATTTGCTTTCTTTCAAATATATTTAATTTGTATAAAAATTTATTATTTTTCTACAAATTAGGGTCACTGACTATTTCAAGGAATTTTGCCAATGAATCCAGTTTATAAAAAAGAAAAAAATAATTGTAACAGACACCCCATAATTGATTGGTTTTGTGGGGCTTGTGAAAGGCAGTTCTTTCTTTCCTGAAACAAATATGTCTAAAGCTAAAATATATATATTGGCTTCTATTACAGCTTATCCCAGACAAAGTTGCTACCAAGAGTAAAAGAAGTTTTTTCCTTATTATTATTATTTTTTAATATGGAGAGAGAATAGCTGGGCTAGTTTCTTTTTTGTTGGAAGGGGGGGTATAGTTTCTTTACCAATAAAACTTTGTTAGTCACCAAGAATGTAGAAGGGTGGCTATGTTAGATTTTATGTCTTTGACTCACTCATTAAAGGGTAAGTGTCTCACTTCTTAAGCCTTTGACCTGAGTCCAGTCCACAGCATTATCCCTCTTCCAAGAGGCGATGTAAAACTCCCTGTGGCGTGCAGGAATCCAGAGATTATTTTTCTCCTGTGCTTTTTTTTAAATGTCATACTGCTTTGAAAAATGGTAGTATTGAGGTAGATATTCTGCAATTGCCAGCCATTGGCACTCTGTCATCAGGAATAGATAGTGGTAGAATGTGTTCAGGTGTTCAAACAGGCTTAACAAACCAGGGTAAAGATGACAACTCTGCTGTTTACCCCCAGGAAGGGAAACAAATAATTGTACATTATGATTTCCTGTATTTTTTAAAAAGCTTTTTTTTTTTGGTAACCCATACTGCTAGAATGTGGTTTCCACTTACTACTCTAGTACTATTCCCAACCACCCACATAGGCATAAGAATTCTTTGTTATGTTCTATCAGTCCTTAGAATCAAGTTAAGTGATGAATTGATGTGTCATCAAGATGCTGTAGATTTAAGATAACAGGTTGTCTCTACATGTAATAATGAGTCATCTCAAATATGGACCATTTAATAGATAAGAGATTGTCTCAATTCCTATAATCAGGGAACTTCCATGAACAATGATAGCTCATATCTCTATGACACTAAGCAAGCCTATAAAACTTACCTATTTGCCTTTTTGTTTTTTTATACCCCACTATGGCCAAATTCGATATTACTCCAACCACATATGTGTTAACAGGCCAACCAGGGGGAAGGTTTAAGATAGACAGGGAAGAGAGAACTAATTTTAGAAGAAAGTTCCTGGTAAGGAGGCATAGGATCAAAACAAGAGCTGAAAAGTAAGATTAGACTGTGGTAAGGTCATTGTTTCTTCTAAGAGAGTCGACAGAAAATAAAAGGATCAATGTATAGGTTTCTGTGTGGGGCTTACCAGAGGTGGAGCCAAATTCATCTGAAGAGTGTGAAGGATAGGTGGTCAGGTAGGGGCTTGAGGAGAGTGGCCACAGGTTTGAAATAACCACTCTGGGAAATGGGGGAAAACTTTACTCTGAGTGATGGGAAATAAATTCATTATTGCCAGCAGCATTAAGAGCTTAGTTAATGTGTACAAAAAGAATACTGACCTTCAGCTGTATGATTTTTCTCCACCAGCATTCAGCATACCAGACAAAATGCAGGAAAAGTACAGTTACTGGGGTTTTTGTAGACGATTATAGCACCCCTGGTAAGTTAGTAGTTGAGGGTGATATACCATGGAGTTTAGTCTGACCTGAAATGGAAGAAAAGACAGGATAAAGCTGGTAGGTTGGGGGAAAAATGGAAGGGTACAGGAGTTAGCAGTCTTCATGAGAAAGAAAGCAAGTGAAATGAAATAAATTGCATTGTTAGAGCATGGAAAGGATAGAAGGCTGTTTTTAGATTTTAGATTTCTGAGATGGAGCAGTTCTGCATAACAAGTCCAAAGTGATCATGGAAATGGTTGATAGAATTGGAGTAGATGTGAAAATTGTTGGAGTTAAGGGGCCCAGAAATTGTGAAGCTTGAGTGCTGGACGGGTCAATACCCATGGTGAGAACTGAGGAAAAGGTAGACAGAACCAGATATGAATGAAAAGAATCACAAGGTAACAGTGACAAGAAGTGGTTGTGTGTTTTTCTAGCCAAATAATAAGAGCTTCAAAAGAGATAGACCTTTACAAAAAGGAGAGGAATAATAATCTTAAAGCACTACTGAGAGGATGTAAAATAAGTATAGTCCTCAGAGAAGAACTCAGCCTCATTAAAGCAAGAAGGGAAGAAGTATTCTGAGAAGAGTTTGAATATGTAGGGATGTAGGTTTGACAAGGAGCAGGTGCTTCCTGAATGAAGGGTGGCAAAGAGAGCAATAATGGGGATAAAAGAAGTAACAATAAATATGTAAATAATGCAGTGGGATGGCTTATCTTTTGGACTCCTAAACTGATATGTTTTACTGATATTTTGTGTTACTACTCAAAATCAAATTTGCATACCAATATTAACTTTGACCATAAGTTAGTTAATTCCAGGCACCTTCATTTTGGTTACTATACTACAGAAAAATTCCTCTAACGAATGCCAAACTCCAACAGTGAGCTTGTGGATTGATAGGAAAAATAATAGGACTAACATATCTGTTTTTTTTCTCTCCAGAACACTTAAATACTATCACCACCATCGACAACAAGGTTGGAAAAGGTAGGGAGAATAATGAATAGAATGGGTAGTTATCTGTAGTGTGCATTTGTGGGAGGTGGAGTGTCTCTAAAATATGGGATTCACATGACTGAAAGGTGGACCACAATACTAGCAGAAAGCATCCTGAGATTACTGCAAGACTTAAGAAGCCAGGAATCCAAGGTTCAACTTCCCTCAGTAGGTTTATTCTCTCTGGTCCCCACCCCCAAACTCCTGAGTTGGGGAAAACAGCCACATCCCCAGTTGAAGGCTGCTATCTTAGCCTCCGACCTAATGTGTGAGAGGAAAAAAAATTCTAGGTCTTTTTTAGTTGGGCATGAAGAAGCTATAGCACAGACATGAATTCCCCATAGGGACACTGTGAAACTAGAACAAATACCATAGTGTCTGCACAAGGCACTTTTTGTTATTGCATCTATGGAATACCAAATACTTGATTCTTTGGAATCAGCCATTTCTGCCCTTCAAGAAAATAGAGATTCTTTTTCTATCTAGCCTAGGTCCAAATAGTGCTTTCACTCTCTACCCCATTTTACCTGAACTGAGAAAGATTCAGAAAGTTATGAGAGCTAGAAGACATTAGAGATCATCAGTTTAGTCTGGAGGTTTTTCAGCTGTGTTTGTAAAATTCCTAATGATATTCCTAAGTATCTTACAAACTGTCAACCAGGGGACTCAGTATATCCTGGAGGGGTTGGGAAGAGGTAAGGGGAGGCTGAGAAAGTGAAGCACCATGAATACATATGTATGCATTTCATCTTCTCTCAGTTCTATAAGAACATATGTTCACCCAGTTATACATTCATTAAACAGGTGCTGAGTGTCAGGAATGCCAAAACAAGTAAGACATAAATACTACTTTCCAAGAGATATGTTTCTAAAAATGTAATGAGACACAGCAACAATAATTGCAGTGCTGGATGCTATATGTTGTAAAAATGGCAAATAATAATAACAGCTATCAATTATTGTACATTTGCTATCTTTCAGGTGCTATGCTAAATATAGATAAATATTAACTCACTTAAATCTCACAATAAACCTCTGAGTTAAGTATGGTTATTATCCCTTTTTTTAAAAAGAGGTGATTAAAGTGCAGAAGTAGGGGGCATTAGGTCACATGGCCCAAGCAAGTAAATTGTGAGAATGAAAACTACAGATGCTTTGAGAACACAGAAGAAAGAATCATTAACTGTCTAGCTGAATTCAATAAATATTTACAGAGACCTATAACATTTAAGCTGGGGATAGAAAAGTGAGGAGGAAGAAAGGGGATTCAGGCAAAGGGAACAGCATGAGGAAGTTATGGATGCCTTAAAGAGGAACACCTATTCTGGGAAACAAATAATGAATTGCTACAGCTGAAGAGTAGTAGATAAGACTAGAAAAGTACGTTAGCTCCCTGGAATGCCTGGCTTGAGTTTGAGCCTTACCCGCATAGGTAAATTAGAGATCATCCAAAGCTTGCATACAAGGAACTAATGCAATCCATCAAGTATTTCACCTGAAAAGACCATAAAATCAGTGTTACCATGGCTCAAAGAGGTGAGAGATCAGACAGCACAGTGGCAGGCTATTGTCATGGTCCAATGGTCCAAGTGTGCATTGATAAGCTAGATCATTGAGTCAAACTTCTTCCTTGGAGTTTCTACTTATTACTCTCAATTCTACCATCTGGAACCATGCAACAAAAACCAATTATTCTATTATTTTTTTACATCATAGGCCTTTATATTAATATATTTAAAGAAATATATATATTTCCACTCTGATTTTTAGCTTTTCCCATAGGGAGATTAGGGCTTTAATGATTCCTAAGTACTCTCTGGCTGTGACATCTTGTTACTCCAATTCTCTGTAACTTCTGAATCTGTTTTAATCAGTTAATCTTTTGAGGGATAGGGAGAGTCCCTCTGTTTTATTTGTATGGACTGATTTCTCATCTTTAAGAGTTGACTACAGAAGGTGCCCCTTTGGAGTACTCCCCAGCCCAACGTGCCCATTTTCTTCTTGTTCCATTTCAGCAACAATCCTCACAGACATTGGAGAAGGCAATGTGAGGATGCTAGGCATGCAGATCCCTGTAAAGGATATCGAGGTACTGGCTTCTGTCTTGATTGCCATCGTTGTCATTCTCCTGCTCGTTGCTCTTGCTCTTGGTGGTGTAGTCTGGTACCAACATCGGCAGAAAAAGCTACGGCGCAACAGGAGGTCGATCCTGGATGACAGCTTTAAGCTTCTGTCCCTCAAGAAGTAACAGCTGGATCCTGGAACTGCACATCTGGAATACACTCCCAGCAGGCCATGGACTAGTAGCTGACCGCACTGTCAAAGGGGCATGGGTAGTAGAGAGGCAGAGGAGGGAATCAAACTTGTCTGGATATTTTTTTCACTTATTTATTTACATGGAAATGATGTACTTTCTCTTATTCTTTAGTTTATTTGCTCCACTTGGGCACTTGGGGGTAAGCATGTCCCTTAGTATCTTATACCACAAATTTCAACAGCTAGATTATATGACCACTGACATTTGGAAGGTCTGTAAATTCCTAGCAAACTGATCCTTTTCACAAAGTAGATACCAGGAGTAAAACACATTGATTAGGTTTATAGTTTAGGACCTAGGCAAGTTCACTCTAAACCAAGGTTAAGTGAGCCGTGAAGATAATCCAATCTAAACTAAGGACTAAGAACATGGGCGTGATGGGGGAATGGGTGGGGTATAGACATTTGAAGACCCAAATTGTATTTTGATTCTTCTTGGAAGTGAATTATTTTGGAAAAGTGGGTGGATGGTGGTTTCCATGAACACTTGTAACCTCTGATTCCAGAAGCTCTGCAGCAAGCCATTCCTCCAAGTTCCTGGCACAGTCATGCTGAAAGGAATGCTGAGTGCCTTTTCCATATTTTAGGCAGAAATTCCTGTCCATTAAAGTACCTGTTAGAATACTGTAAGAGTGAACTTGGTGATTTTGATGGTCCCTGTGGCCTCTGGAAGGTTGTGACTGTGATTGAAACAAAGAGTACTCAGTGGTGGAGGAGGTGGGTGGGTATAGACTGGATCTACCTGTCCTTTGTGGAGCCTGCAGGTTTGTATTTTGGAAATGAAAACCTGTCACAGAGGAAGATTCAAAGTCAGAGCAGCAGGTACCATCTTTTGGCCCATAGATGCCAAAAGTCTTTTGAGTGCCAAGAAAAGAAAAGTTGTCAGAGGAAAACTAGAAGGCTGAGACCAGGTACAAACCTGTCCATTGGGCAAGAAAAGGTGGGCACAGATCTCAAGAGCTCTTTTTGGAGTTGGTGCTATGAGAGGCCTACTTATAATTTGGGGGGCCTCTTTATAACACAGAGTCCATCCTTCTGGTACCTTCAAACTATTTTTTTTGTTATTTGCAAGTTCAAGCCTATCTGAAACCTTGGTCACAGAGCAAAGACAAGATACAGAGTAGGTATGTGATAAGATGGCCCACCATCACTACAGTATCCATATTACCATTTTACATGGCAAATGGAGAACAGAAGAGGCATCAAGGACAGTTAAGATGACAACTGAACTACATAGTGCTTTACACTTTACAAAGCACCTAATACCTGATTGCATTTGACTCACCTTAGTTCTCTCAGGGTGCTATTTTATTTACATTTGAACAAACAAAGGATCAGAGAGAATAAGCAATTTTATATAAAGACATTCAGCTAGAAATTGAGCAGGAATTCAAGCCTTCATCTATTTGAATCCAAATACCAGTTCCACCCTGCTATATCAAGGAAACTTCTACTAATCTCTGTCCTTTGTGTTAGAGGATATTGACTCCAACTTTCCTGTCTTCCCAGCCAACTTGTCTGCATAGCTAGCAACCCCTTGCACATCAAATGTAGAAACCCACAGGGCTGGTGTTCAGTTGCCATATAATGTTGAAGTTTTAAGGGGTAAACACAGGCCAGAGCCTATCATTCATCTTGGTTTATTGTGGTCGGTGTCTTTCTGGATCACTTCACTGGAAATCTCAGAAATATAGCAAGGGGTGCAGGAAGGTTTAGATTGCTGATTATAAAAATCAACTGTTAGAGTATTTAAGCCATTGCACAATCAATGCACTTAACAGAGGAACTCTTTTGGCCTATTGTTAGTGTGGGAGTTTTTGAAAGCCCAGTGCATTCTGGAAACTCCAGTTAATAATAGTTATACAATAATTTGCATGCAACTGGGAGGTTGTTAGCTTGGTCATGAATCTGAGAGAAAGAGAGGTAGTTGGGATGAGAGTGCACGTCTTCTGTGTGTAGTTCTGCTCTGGATTAGGGAATGTAAGCTCAAGCCCATGTATTTCAGAAAGAGATGTATTTTTTTGTGTGGTGGGTTTGCTCCCAGCGGAGCTGTAGAAGATGTTTTTGACAATTAGGTGACACTTCCATGCATTTAATTGCCTAAGCCAGAAATTGCTAAAGTCAACATATCAATGAGTCTTGTTTGTTTTACCTCCAAAATATCTTTAACCAATTCCTTTGTTCTGTCTTCATTGCTACCACCCGATTTTTAAAACAACCATCTGTTACCTGGGCTAGTGTGGTAGCCTCCTGCTTACTTTCCTCACATTCACTGTAGCCCCATACCATGGATTCTCCATGCAGAAAAGTGATGTTTTTAAAATATAAATTAGGCTTCCAAGTCAGATGAAAGGCCATAGACTCACTTCTTCCTGGAGATAAGTATACCCTGGAAATAATGAGAGAGGCAACAATAGAAAAACTAAAAAAGATAGAAAGAGATAAAAGCAGCCTGGAGGAAAAATAAAGCAACAGAGCAACTAAGCATCTTCTCATTACCCAACCAAGCAAAATGCAGCCCAAGATGAATTAGGAGTTCTAATGACAGACCCAGAGGGACATGGAGGCACTAGAAAGAAGGATTGAGGAGATCTGCTAACACCAAGTGACCAGGGAAGGTGTTCTCTATCTCTGCTGCCAGAGACTCATCTACCCAATTAGACATTGGGAAGCACCTACAGGGGCCATCTCAACATAGCAAGTGGCCCAACCCAGGAAGCATTTTTTGTGTCTGAAACCTGGAATATTTATTTTCCTAACCAGAGACAATAAGTGGCTCTGGCAGGGATCAACAATAGACCCAGTGACACCAGAGAAACCAAGCAAAACAAAATAGTACAGCAAAATCTCTGAAAATCACATCATTATTTGAATACAAAATTATGCCAGAACCTGTGTGTTAAACATAAAAATGGTGACTACCTCCTAAAATAGATTGTTTAAATATGGCCCAGAGTTCCATCATACTAATTACCAGGAAAATCACAACTTGAGTGGGAAAAGACAATCAATAGAAACAAACACTAAGATGAATCAGATGTTGAAATAACTTAAAAAGTACTTTAAAATAGTTATAATAAATGCTTCAACAAGCAATTACAAATGTTCTTGAGACAAATAAAAAATAGAAAATCTCAGCAATGCAATAAAATATTTAAAAATCAATGAAAAGTATAGAATTGAGAAAGAAAATTACTGAAAAAAACCTCACTGAGCTCAATAGCGGAGATGATAGAGGATATAATTAATAAAATTGAGGAAAGATCAATAGAATTTATTCAGTGCAGACAGAGAAAAAAGACTGAGTGAATCTCAGGAGCTTGTACAGCAAAGAAACAGATCCAACATTTATATCAGGATTCCTAGAAGAGAAGAAAGAAAATGGGAATGAAAGAATATTCAAAGAAATAATCGTTCAAAACTTTCCAAATTTGGCAAAAGATATCTCTACAGATTCAAAAGTGAAGCCAAAATAGGAAAACTCCAAAAAACTCTACGACAAGACAAATAACTTCTAAAAACTAAAAACAAAGAAAAAAACTTAAAAACATCCAATGATAAACAGCATATTATTTATCGGGCAATATCAATTTGAATGACAGTAGGTTTCTCTATCTGAAGCTCGGGAGATCAGAAAGATAATGGAAGGAGAACTGACTCTGGGTGGTGAACACACAATGTAATATGTAGATGATGTATTACAGAATTGTACACTTGAAACCTATGTAACTTTACTAACCATTGTCACCCCCAATAAGCTTTAATTTAAAAAAAGAATTCATCATACAAGGAAAACTACACTCATGATCATGTAACTGTTAGAGTAAAAAGAATAAATGTTTTACCTTGAAAACACACACACACACACACACACAAAAGTAGCATGACATTTTTTATTTTCTGAAAGCAAAAGACTGTGAATCTTGAATTCTATATCCAGTAAAACTGTTCTTCAGGAATGAAGGGAAAATAAATACATTCTCAGACTAAGGGAAACTAAAAGAATTTGTTGCTAGCAGACCCACCCTTAAAGGATGACTCAAATAAATTTGTTCAAACACAAAGGACATGTTGAAAGAAACAATCTTGGAACATCAGGAAAGATTAAATAAATACAGAAACAGCAAAAATAAGGATAAATGATTATATAAAAGATTTAAATAGCACACTCAATCTACAGAATCTAACTGCCATATATAAAATACTTCATCAAGAACAGCAGAATACATATTTTACCAAACAACCATGTTCATCAAGATAGATCATACACTGCACCTTAAAACAAACATCAGCAAGTTCAAAACACTTAAAATCATGCCATGTGTGTTCTTTGACCATAATGGAACCAAACTAGAAAGTAATAACAGAAAGACAACAGGAAAATCTCTAGACACTCAAAATTAATCAACACATTTCTAAATAGTCCATAAATCAAATGAGATACCTCAAAGGAAATAAAAAAATAGAATTGATTGAAAATGAAAACAAAACATATCAAAATTTGTGAGATGGAGGCTGGCCAAGTGACTCAGTTGGTTAAGAGCTCGCTCAAGAGTTTCAGCTCTGAGCAACAGCGGTTCGAGTCAGCCCGAGCTGAGCAGCCGCTGAGCTGCCAACAGGTGGCAGAATGGCTCAGCTATAAAAAAAAAAAAAAAGAGTTTCAGCTCTGAGCAACAGCAGTTTGATTCTCAGCCCAAGCTGAGCTGCTACTGAGCTGCCAACAGGTGGCAGGATGACTCAGCTAAAAAAAATTAAAAATAAAAAATAAAAAAAAATTGTGAGATGCAGCTATAGCAGCTATGGAAGGGACATTTATAGAACTAAAATGCATTAAAAGGAGAAACGGTCTTAAGTTAATACAATAAGTTTCTCCATAAACTATAAACAGAAAATAAATGCAAAGCAAGCAGAAAAAAGGAAAGTGGGCCGGCCGAGTGGCGCGATGGTTAAGAACTGGCTTGGGACGCCAGAGGGCCCCGGTTCGGATCCCACATATGAGGGCCAGTGACACTGCCCTCCACAGCTAAGATGCTGAACAACAGCTCAACCTGGAGCTGGGTTGCCATGAGTCGCCGGCGACGGCGTAGGCTGCAGCCCCTGTGGCAGTGGGTTGCCATGGGCTACCGTGTGTAGCCAGCAGCCAGCGTGAGCGGCCAGCAGCCGCAGTGAGCGGCCGTCCAGAAGCCGGTGACTGATCTGCCTCGCCCGGGAAGAGCGCAATGGTGGTGCCAACTTGGGCCAGTGAAGCAACATCCTCCACAACTAGACTGAAGAACAAAAAACGACAGCAACTTGTCTGTTCCCCCTCCCCAATTCCCCAGCTCTGTTCCCATCCTCCCAATTCCCCAATAAAAAAAAAATCTTTAAAAAAAAAAAAAGAAAAAAGGAAAGTGTACGGGTAAGAGCAGAAATCAACAAAACTCAAAACAGGAAAATAAGAGTAAACAAATGAAACAAAAAAATAACTTGTTCTTCAAAAAATAAATTAAAATGAAATTGATAAAATTAGAGTGACAAAAGTAAAAATAGAGAAGATACAAAATATTATTATCAGAATTAAAATGGGTTACCACTGGTGGAGCTGAAAAAATGGTGGTGGTGAGGACTCCCTGAATTCTCCCCTGGAAAACACAGCAATTTGAGCAGCTGGAGCACAGCAAACAAACCTCTCTGAAGCACACTGAGCAGCGAAGGGACTCCCACACAGAGTACTTAAAGGTGGGCAGACCAGGCGAGTGGGGGAAGAGGGATGCAAAAGGCAGAGCCTGCACCTGCGGCTGCTGAGATTCAGGGTCTCAGAGAGTTCCCGCGGTTCGCTCCCTACTCCTCCAGCCGGCTCTAAGGCAGAATCCTCAGGCTGGGCGTGAAGCAGAACAGAGAGAGGAGGGTATGAGCGGAGGCACAGTCTCTGCTCCCAGGGCTGCGGAGCTGCCGGAATCCAGGACAAGGCAGAATGTTTTGCAGCATCTGGGCGGGCTCAGCCTCTGGTGCTGACCATCCTGCCGGGAGTCCAACAGGAGCCCCAAGGCGCGCAGTTTCTGAGGCAGAAATCTCAAACCGGCAAGCAGGAGAAGAGGGAAGCGAGAAGTGTGGAGATGCAGCCCACACCCCACAGCTGAGGAGACACGAGCTGCTTTGCCAGGGGGTGCCTGGCGTCGGAGGGGGCTTTTTTCTTTTTCCTATATTTTTTCTCTTTCTTTTTTCCCCTTTTCTCTTAGATAGGAAAAATAAACTGCTTAGATAAGTGCACACCCCCACCCTCCCTCAGAAACCTTGGCCTCCTCCCTGCCAGAGCTTGAGGCAGACTCCTGAAGAGAGGAGTAAGTCAGAACAAAGGTGCTTCGACTCCCTGGGGGTTGAGTAATTTACATGGAAAGAGGCTGCAGGTGGGAGCTACTAAACACACTGTCCCCGCCCCCACCTATCCTGGGCAGCTGGGGAAGCAGAACAGCTTCAGCTGCTGAGACACAGGAAGGCCTATCAGCAGCTCTGAAATCTCCATCCCCCCGCCCTCCAACAGCTCCAGTGGAAAGAGCACCCAAGACGCACATCCAGTCCTCTGGCTGCGCAGAAATCAGAGTGTCTCTGGACAGGCAGGAGCAGAAATAACACTGATTTTGTAAAAAAACTACCAATCACACCTCATAACTCCACTCATCTAAACTATACCGGCCATTACCAAGCACACTCTAGGTGCCAGGCGGCTGGCTCTGCCCCCAAAAGACACACAGGAGTGTATGTACAGCAGATGAAAACCTGGGGTGAGCTTGGTGGACTACAGCCAAGATTGGCACTGGTTATTTCTTGTTTTTTCTCCCTTTTTTTTTATTTGATTGTTTTCAGTTTGGGTTTCTCTTTTGATGTGTTATATTGTTATTGTTCATTGGGTTCTCTTGGATGTTTTGGGGTTTTTTGTTGTTTTTTTCATTGTTTGCTTGCATTGGTTCTTTTTGGATTTTTCTATTTCATTAGTAATTTTAGTTTTTTATATAGACATATATAAAGGTGTATATATGTGGATATATATGTCCATATATATGGGGTGTAGATATATATATTTTTTTCCCCTCTGCATTTTTCTCTCTTTCCTTTTCTACCCTCTCTCTCCCCCTTCTTTCCTGCTTCCTTGTC